CTATTGATATCACATTGTGGTCATTGTATCAATCACACACTACAGTACACTATTGATATCACATTGTGGTCATTGTATCAATCACACACTACAGTACACTATTGATATCACATTGTGGTCATTGTATCAATCACACAATAAAGTACTCTATTGATATCATATTGTAGTCATTGTATCAATCACACACTACAGTACACTATTGATATCACATTGTGGTCATTGTATCAATCACACACTACAGTACACTATTGATATCACATTGTTGTCATTGTATCAATCACACACTACAGTACACTATTGATATCACATTGTGGTCATTGTATCAATCACACATTACAGTACACTATTGATATCACATTGTGGTCATTGTATCAATCACACACTACAGTACACTATTGATATAATAGAGGGAATATGGTATATTCCATGTGACATAATGTTATGTATTCAGTTGGTACAACAAAGCCAATTTGAAGAAACCAGTAGAGAATACCTGTAATTGTTTCTGGTTGTTGTAATTAAGGGCAAGATTGGATAGAGCATTGATGGCATAGATTTGAATCTTTTCACATTGATGTTGCATTAGGAATACCAGCAACGGCAAAACACCAGCTTCACGAAGTAATTCCTATTAATAAAAAAAATGTAATTAATACTATTAATGTGAGTGAAAATGTTTTTTTTTCTCTTAGAAGCGATTTCAGGCTGAAGTATATTTAGCTTACCGTATAATACTATTTGTGTTATAGAAGTTACCTTGGTTACATGTACATGTATTGAAGACACCAAATCTTGGTTACATGTACATGTATTGAAGACACCAAATCTTGGTTACATGTACATGTATTGAAGACATCAAATCTTGGTTACATGTACATGTATTGAAGACACCAAATCTTGGTTACATGTACATGTATTGAAGACACCAAATCTTGGTTACATGTATTGAAGACACCAAATCTTGGTTACATGTACATGTATTGAAGACACCAAATCTTGGTTACATGTACATGTATTGAAGACACCAAATCTTGGCTACATGTACATGTATTGAAGACACCAAATCTTAGGTTACATGTACATGTATTGAAGACACCAAATCTTGGTTACATGTACATGTATTGAAGACACCAAATCTTGGTTACATGTACATGTATTGAAGACACCAAATCTTGGCTACATGTACATGTATTGAAAACACCAAATCTTAGGTTACATGTACATGTATTGAAGACACCAAATCTTGGTTACATGTATTGAAGACACCAAATCTTGGTTACATGTACATGTATTGAAGACATCAAATATTGGTTACATGTATTGAAGACACCAAATCTTGGTTACATGTACATGTATTGAAGACACCAAATCTTGGTTACATGTATTGAAGACACCAAATCTTGGTTACATGTACATGTATTGAAGACACCAAATCTTGGTTACATGTATTGAAGACACCAAATCTTGGTTACATGTATTGAAGACACCAAATCTTGGTTACATGTACATGTATTGAAGACACCAAATC